AGTGGTTCATATTCATCATCAATAGGGTTCTCTGCCAAATGATCTGCCAAGGCTTGAGCCTTCATTGCGGTCCGCGTCACATAGATAATGTCAAACTCTGTGAGTAATATTTGCCATTTCGCAAGCCTGCTCGTGGGCATGGGCTTTTGAAAAATATATTTAAACGGATCCATATGAGAAATGAGATAAGTAGTATAAGATGAAAAGATAGTGCTTCAACTTCTGTGCTACCCAGGTTAGGGCACAACACGTTCTTTCGAGAAGGGTGTACTTCGATTCATAAACGGTAAATTTCTTGCTGATATAATAAATGGCCTGCTCTTTCTTCCCAGTGCCATCATGCTGACCCAATACACATCCAAAAGAATTATCCAGTACTGACATATATAATATCAATGGTCTGCCCGGCTCGAGAGGAACCAACACAGGGGGATTCGATAAGTAATTCTTAATCCTTTCAAAAGCCTCTCGACATTCTTCGGTCCATTCGACTGTGGCATTCTTTTTAACAACTTAAAAATCGGCTCGCAAGTTGTTGTGAGTTGAGCAATGAATCTACTGATGTAGTTTAACCTTCCTAGAAGGCTCATAACCTCAGTTTTATTCTTTGGAGGTGTAGTTCCTGAATGACTTTTATTTTTGAAGGATCTAACTTGATACCTCGTCGACTGACTATAAACCCCAAAAGTTTTCCTGACGGTACTCCAAATACACATTTTGCAGGATTAAGCTTGAGATTATACCTGCGAAGCCTTTCGAAGAATCTTCTTAAATCTTGCACATGATTTGACTGTTTTTTTGATTTAATGATCACATCATCCACATAAACTTCGATTTCTTTATGCATCATGTCATGAAACATGGTTGTGATTGCCCTCATATAAGTTGCTCCCGCATTTTTTAACCCAAATGACATGACTCGAAAACAATATGTACCCCATGGAGTGATAAAAAATATTTTTTCTGCATCTTCATCATCCATAATAATCTGATGGTAACCCGCATAGCAATCCACAAAAGATGCAATCTCATGTTTAGCACAATTATCCAACAAAATATGAATGTTGGGCAAAGGAAAATCATCTTTTGGACTTGCTTTGTTCAAATCACGATAATCAACACACATTCGAACTTTGCCGTCTTTCTTAGGGACAGGTACGATGTTGGCTAACCAAGAAGGATATTGAGCGACTCGAATGACTTTGGCCTCAAGTTGCTTTGTGATTTCCTCTTTAATTATTACACTCATGTCAGTTTTAAGCTTTCTCAACTTTTGCTTTACTGGAGGGAACTTAGGATCAATCGGCAACTTGTGAACCACCATGTCAGTGCTTAATCCAGGCATGTCATCATAAGATAACGCAAAAACATCCTTGTAATCAAGCAAAGCTTGGATTATATCCTCCTTTTGATGTCGAGCATATACGCTTATCTTAGTCTCTTTAATATTTTCATGATCACTTAAATTTATCGTCTCAGTTTCACTCATATTTGGGTTTGATTTATTCTCAAAAGATTTGAAATCCCTGCTTACTTCTTCAAATACTTCGTCTTCATCATATTCGATTTCTTGACCTAGTATTTCAGGATTAGGTCGAAGATTAGATTGGATTTTAAGATCCGGTGAATAATTCTGCATGCATGTCATATTACTAGAATCGGCATATAAAGAACTGTATAGAAGAAAACAAAATAAATATATTAGACTGAAATAAAAACACAATTACATCCTATTGAAAAGGAAAATAGAGAGTTTGAAATAAAACGACGAGACAAAATCCGAATTACAACCCTTGATTAAATCGGATGACAAAAAGAAAAACAAGACAGACTACCAAGACTCATTCTTAATGGGGAGAGGAGTGGCCTCCCAATTGTTCAGCTGGACATCAGGACCAATGAATTGCACATCTCTGTCACTAGTGCCTTCTCCAAGTTCAATCATATCAGCCTCGACAAATAAATCTTGAAAATAGTTGATCGATTCTTCGTGAACCTCCAGCACTGGCTCTGGGCGTGGTTACTCAGAAGATTCTGTTGTGCGGGCTTTGAGGAAAGATTTGTATATGGGTGGTATAGGCTTGGTAAGTGACCATACATCTCTCTTCTGCTTTTTGGCCTTCATTTTGTCCTCGACTCTAAACTTGTATCCTAAGCCAAAAGTACCAAGACTCTTTCGTGGACTCACCGGATAAGCTCTCCCTTGCAAGAAGATCCCCAAGCATTTACCTGGTTCAAAACCATGCTTCAGCATTTCATTTACCATCATCACGGATGCCATGGGCAGTTGTGGTTTTGAAATGAGATTCCCCTCGAGGATATGCTCAACAACCACTACTTCAAAAGCTTGATAAACCAATGCCTCATTATCATTATTCACCTTGATAAAAGGGAGGGAAGAGTCTTTGTAGACTGACAGATCCCCCTCACTATGAACAATCACTTCTTGTCGGTCGTATTCAAACTTAATCATTTGATGCAACGTAGAGGGACTGCCCCAGCTCTATGCACCATGGTCTTCCCAATAATAGATTGTAGGATGCTTTGATATTCAGCACTTAAAAATTCACGGTGAAATCGACAGGCCCTATTTTTAGTATGAGCTCTATCTCCCCAATGGCATCTGTTTTGGACCCATCAAAAGCTCTAACACATACGTTGTTGGGTCGTACCCTTTCAACATTAACATTCAATTTTTGTAGAGTTGACAAGGGACAAATATTTGCCCCAAACCCTCCGTCAATTAGAACTCGAGTGACATATGAAAGCTCACACTTTACAGTGATATGGAGGCCTTGGTTATGTCCCGTACCTTCCGCTGGTAGTTCATCATCTGAAAAGGTGATGCGGTTTACCTCAAAGATTCTCCCAGCAATCTTCTCTAATTGACTCACTGTAACTTCATTAGGAACATATGCCTCATTCAGAATCTTCATTATAGCTTTACGTTGTTCATCTGAATGTATTAATAATGACAATAAAGAGATTTGGGCTGGAGTTTTCCTTAACTGTTCCACAATGGAATAGTCTGACAATTTCATCTTTCTTAAGAACTCCTCTGTCTCCCCTTCAGTGACTGGACTTTTAACTTGCATTTGGTCATTTTTATTTTTCCTTAATTCAGTCGGGGCATAGCATCTTCCCGAACTACTTCTTCATTGATTTCTTTCCCCTTGTATGTCACGACGGCATACTCATAATTCCAAGGGACAGCCTTGGGATTAGTCATTGGAAGTTGGGACACTGGCCTAATGATCACAGGTGGAATATAGGCTCCTTGCACGATCAAGATAGGTTTGTCTGGTCCTCTTGGAACAACCAATTTTGCCTCTCTCTGACTTGCCCAAACATCTTCAAGTGCTCCTTTTACAGTTAGGATGGGTGCACTTGATGGGGTCAACTTTTCAGACGTACTTTCCACCCCTGAAGGCATCATTTTTGTTAAGTCAACGACATTTGCTAAACTTTCCATGCCAGTTTCAACCCTTAGGATTGGCTTGTATGGGACTGCAACTTCTTCGTGGCCATTCATCATCTCTAACATGTTTGTTTCAGTATGTCTGGGCAGTGGATTTTGATTGATGTTCGGTTCATTTGGGCTTTCAACTATAATTCGACGAGTATCGATCAAATCTTGAATTGCCTTTTTCAAGTACCAACATCTCTCTATGTTGTGCCCTGGGGCATCAGAATAATATGCACAGTGTTGGGAATAATCAAGATTTCTCGGAAGAGGATTCAACATCTTTCTTTCAATAGGACTCAAAACATTCAATGTTCTTAATTTTTGAAACAAGCTAGCATATGATTCTCCAATAGGGATGAACTCATCCTTAGCTCCATTTCCCTTCTTGTATTCTTTTCTAGGACGAAAAGGAATTCTAGTTGTATTTTGGTGAATTTGTGGGGGTGATGGATGATTTTGAGGAAGTGGTACACGCCATTGCGGATAAGAAGGGGGAACAATTGGTTGTGCGGTAAATATGGGATATTGAGGATATGGGACATGATATTGTGGAATTTGGGGAGGAAAGTAGTGTTGTGTATGATTATCTTGGGCATAGGTTCGAGGTGCTGATACAAGGGTGGCTACATCTTTCCTTCTTTTCTTCCCTCCAATATTTCCAGAACCATTTTGAAGCGCTTGTGTTGTGGCTTTTAAAGCAGCTTGGCTTACGATCTTCCCAGACTTGATGCCATTTTCCACCATTTCCCCAACCTTGATAACTTCTGCGAATGTCTTCCCGACAGCAGAAAGCAAGTAATGAAAGTAATCAGGTTCTTGGGCTTGGAGAAAAACGTCAATCATCTCTGACTCCTTCATTGGTGGTTTAACCCTAACATCTTGCTCCCTCCATCTAACGGCATATTCACGAAAATTTTCTATGGTCTTTTTCCTTATGTTAGCAAGTGAGGAGCGGTCTGGCACAATATCAATATTATATTGGAATTGTTGCACAAAACATCGAGCCAAATCATCCCACGTATGCCAGTTGGCTATATCCTGATCTATGAACCATTCAGACGCAATTCTTATCAGGCTTTCCCCAAAATAATCCATGAGCAACTCTTGTTTGCCCTCTGCACCTCTCAATTGATTGCAATATCTCTTCAAATGAGCTATGGGGTCTCTATGACCATCATATTTCTCAAACTTCGAGGTTTTAAAACCAGTAGGCAAATGGACGCGGGGAAACATGCACAAATCATTGAATGAGATGCCTTTGTGGCTCCCTAGTCCTTGCATATCTCTTATACTCTGTTCCAAACTCTTCATTTTCTTAGCCATTTCTTCATGCTCCTCATTCTTAACTGTCTTCTCAATTTTTAAGGGGGAACTATATTGATGAGTCTGGGGATAACAACTTGGAATTTTAAGGGCCTCTTCAGGGGTGTAGCCATGGTCATGAGGAACTTGGAATGAAGGATCATTGTTGGATTTGGGCACCACTGTTGGATTTGAAGTGCTATTAGTCGGCGCAGTTGACATAAAAAGTGGGTTACTCATCATAGGTGTATTCAAGGGACGCACGGTAGAAGTTTTAGCGACGTTTGATGTGTTAGTGTAGGAGCCGAATCCAGGTGGATAAATTGGATCATTGGTCGATACTTGGATAGGGAATGGCATATTCGCATTCAGGTATTCCCGAATCGAAGATGGAGGAGCTTGCCCATTCATCCAAGCTTCATACATTTCGGCCATTTGTTGTCGCAACATTTTTACCTCATCCACAGACACCGATTCTTGTGCAACTATTTGGATGTCGTCATTTCCCGACTATGTTCCCTCCTTGCGCGTCATCTTCCCTTTCCCTTTTGATCTGGTGTAGTATTGATGAGATGTCAGCTCTAATCACAAACCAACCACCTTAAAACTCTTTCTCTCTTTTTTTTCTCTTCTCTTACAAAAAAAACAAACATGTTAGGGTTTAGTGTTTTGCAAACGATAATCACACGTTGTATGTTATGCACCTAAATTATTTATGTTTTTAAAATGAGTTTCAGAAGGCTTTTATGTTTCATCCCGGCTTTAGACGACTTGATTATGTCTCTTAGTCTTATATTTTACTTATTTGAATAATTTTGAAACACATTTTGATCGAACCCGTTGAGGGTTGCCTACGTATCATGTTGAACATGAATCAGATCATTACGTAGTTCGTGAAAGATAATAATATATATATATATATATATTTATTTTTATTTTTATTTTTTTTAGAATAATAAATGTACATGAGTTGACCAAAAGTAAATCATTTTCATTCATTTTCAAATATTCTTAACATAATGATTTGAATAAAACATGAGAATAGAAGTAGCTAAGACTAAGATAGATTCAAAATGATTAACGAAAATGTAAATAAATAAAAGCAACAACTAATAACTAAGAAAAGAAAACAGACTCGGAACGAAACTAAATCCTCAGATCTCAATCATCCCCAAGGCTCTTATAAATCCTAGCCAAGGCCTTTGGTAGATGTGGAGCAAGAACATGTGCCTGGCGGCCCAACCTCTCATCATTCTGGTGGAGATAACCAGCATAAACATCATTGAGTGCATCCCTGAGTTGAAGTACTCGATCTCTGGCTTCATTCATATTGTCATAACAATTTTGTAGCTAATGTCGAGTAGTATTGACTTCATGCGTCAAATTCTCCCTCTGTTCTTGGAGCTCTTCAATTTGAAGGTGGAGTGCATCTCGTTCGGCTATCCTTTGACCTCTCTCAACCTCACATTCTGCCTGATATACACTAAAACACCTTGTTATTTCCCTTTCCCGTTCCATAGAAGCCTTAACTTGATTCTGGAGTTTAGACTGTGTGCAGATAAGCTGGACCTTTTCTTTTTTATAATCTTCCTCTTGTTGCTCCATAGCGCCTGTGACAATGCCCAAGTCTTCTTGTAAGGTCAGAATGGTAGAACGATGTTTTCTAACTCTCACTTCAAATATAGCATCACGTTGGGCCAACTCCTCTTTAGCATTCTTCAAGTCATTACTCAGGACATCCAGAGTAGATCTATAGCTTCTTTCAACTTCGAGGCGAGCTTGCTTAATCCTAACCTCAATTTCTGCTTGTCGATCTACAGGTCCTTTCACCGATCCTTCTGGCAATACCTTAGGAGGGGGTTGATCATGAACCCATTTTAAGTATGTTTGGTCGACCTCACCCTTGGTGCGATCCTCCACCCTATCGTGGGGACTTGAGAGCATGCATCCCCCCCAAATCTTGAATATCTCTGATTTTTATTAAGGAATCTCGGGATGAAACTCATACATGAATTCCCGCATATCTTCATTAGGTGGTAAAAACTGGCGTCGACCAAGTTGTCGCATAACTCTAAGTGGCATGTAAGGTTGGACACCTCGAAGGCCCATTAGGATGATGAACGATCGAAAGGTAGACATGTATAACACCTCGACTGATGGAAACCAATGATAATTCCACACAATCTTGTCAGCAATCAGATTATTGAGATATTTCTTCCAAGCCTCAATACCCTTCGAAAAACTATGATCTTTGATTCTTTCCTCGTGGCTCCCAATATAATCATTCCATTCTACTTTGAAGTCCACTACATAAGGGTGATGACGAATGTGCTCAATCATCCATAGTTGTAGTAACATATTGCATCCCTCAAAGTAATCTCCTCCATTCTTGCAAATTGTCAAAGCGCGGTAGATGTCTGCTAGAATCATGGGTACGAGGGTGATATTAGGCTTTTTCTCAAAAGTTGTAATGACTGCAGCCAAATTTATATTGATCTTTCCTCCCCTTTTCGGAAACACCATGATCCCCAAAAAAGCTACTGTGAAGGCATCATAACTGTGTGCTTCCCAGGTCAAACGACACCCGTTATTACGAAGTTTCTTTTCATATAACTCGAACCCATCCTTTCGCCCATTTCTTTTGTACAAAAATTCTAACGGAACCCATCCGTTATCAAGACAACCACCTATTTCATTCTCATTTATGTGCAATAACTCCAAAAACCTCCTACCACTGATATGTTTTGGTATTATAGGTTCTCCTTCGTGAAGATTTTTACCCTTTCCTATGAATGCGCCTATCTCCTCTAGTGTGGGAGTGAGTTCAAAGTCAGAAAAGTGGAATACATTTTTTATTGGATTCCAAAAATGAACTAGTGCTTCTATCAAGTCCCGTCGTGGCTCAACATATAAAAGGCTTCTCAGAAATCTCAAGCGTTTGAATACCACTCATTTCCCATGATTCGTCATATTTTCATACCATGCCTTCAAAAGTGTCGGAGTCTTATCTAATATCATGACGCGAGGTGATTGGTCCTCCCTTGGCCTCTTATCTCCCTTTCCATATGGATTCATATTTTCCTATATTATGATAATGACAAATTATGACTTAATAAAACACATTTTTATTTTTTATAAAATTAAAAATAAAGTAAAAATTATTGTATATAATAGTAAAAACATGATTGGACACTAAGGAAAACAAACCATCACATTTTTTATTTTTTATTTTTTTTAAAAAAAATCTCCTATTAAATAATCCGAGTAGAGTTGAAAGGAGAAAACAAAATTAGTATAAATTTTTTTTTTCTAAATAATTATTATTATAAGAAGAGTGAAAAAAATAAAAAAATAAAAAAACACATAAGAAAAATAAGCACTCAAATCTTTTTGTTGTAGTCTAAACCCCTCTTATTAGATAATCCTGCTAGACTTTTAAAAAAAATAGTATAGTTGGTTTTATTTTATTTTTTCTTAATTTATCTTTACCCTTTTTAAGAAAAATAAAAAAAAATAAAAAAATGATAGTAATAATAACTAAAAAAAAATCTTATATTTATAAAAGAAGTACAAATTTTGACAAAGTAAAAATGTTTAATAAAAGAAGGACACTAAGACCTTTGCATTTTTGGAATTTTCCTTATCTTTTTTTTTTTAATTAATTCATCCAAATTCGGTCGACATTTTGTATAGTCTTCCTAATAGTGCAACAAGTAGAACAAAAATGTACATGATGGTCTTAAGTGGGGGTACCTGTCCTAGAAGGACTCGACCCTTGTGTCGAGCCTCATTAGTTTAAAAATATGCATGATGCAGATAAATCGGATCCTATTAGGAATAATCATCGCTGAGACTTATTTTACTAAGTTAACAACCTAATGGAATGAGTGTCTAGACTGGTCGGAAAACGAGTGGACTACTCGAGTCGAGAAGGGATAGCTTATCGGTAGCAGGGCTTTCCGGCCTCACTATTAGTTCTTCCCATCTTAAGACATGTGTTACTATAGAATCCTTCGCAGGAGCGTTGCCGTATCTCTGGTATCTCATGGCTCAGGAGCGTAATCGCATTTTTGAATAAAGTATCTCAGAAGACTCAGATGGGTGCGCGAGGAGATACAGATATATAACAATTCACATAATATCAAAGCAATAAACAAGTAGCAAATAACACATGATACTAACATCACAATATCCAAAAAGAATAATAATAAAAATAAAGATCAAAGTCATACGCAAGTCAATATTTTGAAGATCGAATTCTGGTTATCCCCAGCAGAGTCGCCATCTGTCACACCCCTATTTTCGCGACAAGCGCTGGAAGGCTTTTTCCAATTTAAGTGACGTTATTGATTAAAGATTATTTTTTATTTTTTTCAGAGTCGCCACTTGGAATTGAGTTGTGGTGTTCCAAGTCACCTTTTTGTTTAATCCCTTATCAAAAGAAAATGACTCTTTATATTAGTCTGCAAACCAGAAATTCGGATAAGGAATTCTGTTGACCGAGGGGAAGGTATTAGGCACCCCTCGAGTCCCGTGGTTCTAGCACGGTCGCTTGTATTGACTTATACTTATCTTGATATGTTTTTGGATAATTTGTGTCTATACGCCATGATTTACTTATTTTTTAATTGTTGAATGTTATTAGTGTTAAATCGGATGCATAACTGCATTCTCGATCTTGACATTTGGAGACATAACTGTCTTCTTTGCATCACACCTAATAATCTGTTTTTTTTTATAAGTCTCTACTTTAGATTAATAAAATTTAATTATATTATTGGACAAGGTGCATCACTGCATCCTTGATTTTTTTTATGTCTCCAAAAAGATGCGCAACCGCATTCTTAATCGAAACAAATATTTTTAATATTTCTAAAACTCATCTAGTCATTAAAAAAAACAAATATTTTTTCCTTTATACATAAAACTAAATAAGGTAAAATGAATCTAAATGCCTAAGATACAATATAAAATTTTGGATTATTTTGTATTTTTTTTTATTATTTATTTACTCTTAAATTTAATATTAAAATTAGACATACACATATTATATATTTTATTTTAATCTTAAAGTTAATGAAAAAAATTAGGCATACACATTCTAATCAAACAAAACAACAACGAATTATAAAAAATAAAACTCATTTTTTTTATAAAATAAAACAACAATAATTTATTTATTTATTTTTTAGCCTAATTATACCTACTTTATCATTATTATCTAAATGAAAACAAGAACAATGTTACGACCATTCTTTTTGAGAGATCACAACTAACAAATAAAATAAATAAATAAATAAATAAATAAAATCATCGATTAAAGCTACCTTATTCATGAAATAGAGAAATAATAACTAACAAATTAATCATTCCAATCAAATTCATGAATGAAATAAAATATAAAAATAACTTGTCATAAAATTACA